TATTTTACCATATATAATAGTAGAATTAAATATTAATTAATTCATTACTGCTGTTTTAGAGACACTAAAATAAATTTCTGAAACATTTATGTCAAACTTTTTAGCTAACTTTAAAGAGACTAAGCAAGTCATTATTTTTGTTATTGAAGCCATTTCCCTTATTTCATATGTGTTTTCTCCTTAGATAAAAGAAGCATCTTCATCTTTATATATGCCCCAAGCTTTACATTAAACTTAAGGCCTCACTTCTTCCCTTTTTGCTTTTTTTTATAATTTGATATTTAGTAAAATTTTAAATAGAAAGTATTTTTATTTATTTACTTTTTAACTTAGAAATACCTTCTTGTTATTCTGATTTTTCTTAATAATTTTCATCATTTATTTTATTTTATTGTTGTAACTATATTGCAGGTAAATTAGTTTTTGTAGGTTTACGAAAGAAAGTTGTTGATTTCGATTCGTTAACTATTTAAAAAAAATTAAAATTTAGTAGAGATTAAGTAGTTTTTTTATTTTTGTTTGAAATATTTTATTTAACTAAAACTTTTTTATTTTTATTTTAAAATTACGTGAAATATTTCCACAAGATGGTATTCTTTTGTAAGCAGAGCTCACGGAAGAATTTTAGCTTGAAGTATTTGTTGAGCTACTTGGTGTTGTTAGTTTAGGAGGTAAGTTTATATTATTACTATTTTAGAGCTTAGAAAGTTTAGAGGGTATTTATGCAAATCTTTTTTAAGAATCAGAACGTTTATGGCTTTAATTTCTCCAAGAAGGGTAATTCTGATTAAATTTATTTATCAGGCCTCTATTTTTCTCAAGGAATTTAAAAAAGTCTTCATCTAAATAGTCTAAATCTGGATCATTTATATTCAGATCAAAATAGCTATTAATACTATTTTCTTAGTTGAACAATTGTTATCATAAAAACAATAATATAGTATAATTTTACTATTTGATTAGGATTTTATTGCTTATTTCATACAAGAATGATGTGTTTTTTCTAAAGTAAACTTGTTGAATTGTTTGTTTTTATATGAGCTATATAATTTTGTTGTTGCTAATTTCAGAATATTTTTAAAGAGTAAAATCAGAAATTAAAGCAATATAGTATTAGTTATTTCTTATTATTTTGTTTTAAGATTCAGTGATTTATCAAAACTAATTACGATATTACAAAATTATTTATCTTTTAAAATAGAAACTGAACAATCCAAACATAAAATGATATCATGAATAAATAAATTCAATACATTCAATAAATAAAGTGATCCAAATAAATTTATAACTATATTATCTCAAATTAATAATATTTATTATCACTATAAAAATGTAATATTTAATTAATAATATTAAATTTTCTTAGTCCTTCTTTTAAATATTGATGGCTGGTTAGATTGATAAATAAATAAATAAATTTTGTATTATTTAAAAGTTTAGTAAGTAAATATTTAAGATTAAAAATTATATTTAATGCATAATTTTAAATATATACAAAGTTATTATGCAATATATTAAATAAGGCAGGTGTAAAAAAAATTATTTTTTATTTTTTTATCTCCTTATTCAAAAATCATTAAGAACTTTTTGATAAGAAAAAATAAAGTTGATTTCAAGTGCTCTCCTCCTAATCAAAAAATAATTATTATACTATTGTCTTCCTTATTAAAGAGATCTATAATATATCTAAATTAATTATTAAGTATTCTAAACTTATAAGTAATAATTTTTATCCTTTTAAATCAATAATTTGAAAATGGAATATTTGTATAAAAAATATATTTTTTATGTTTGAATTAATATGTATGGTTAATTTTTAATTAAAAAATACCAATAAATATTATTGATTAATTAAAATATTCAATAAATTTTTTTTTATTTTTAATTATTAATACAGATTATCATAAACATGAAAGAAAACAATAATGTAAACTCTATTTAGGTATTTTACAATAAGATTGCTTAGATTTCATTTTTTATAATTTTATGGTTTAAAGGATATCGTTGAAGTCTTGCAAAAAAAACCTGATTAAAGGACAATATAAGATTTAAAACGCTTAATCTATGCAACTCAGCAAATTTAATTTTTTGATAGATATGTAGAATAAGGAAGAGAAAAGGGTAAATTTAAAAATAAACTAAGTGTATAGAGATAACTTACATTTTAAAAAAGTATTACAGAAATGTTGCAAACACATGAAGTACGAAGCTATGGAAAAAGGCTAGAAAGTATTTGAAATAGGTATCTAAGTTAAATGCTCAAGATACAATTAATAATAACAATTAACATAAAATAGATGAAAGAGGAACAAAATTCTACTTAATTCTTTCAGGAAAAGTAGGTGTATATATAAAAGATCCTAACTAATAAACAAATATTAATGATTCACCTAAGATTTTTGGAAACCACTCTCATCAAGCAGCTAATTAAAGAGATTAACATAATGAAGAGTAATTTCAATAAACTAAATATATTACAATAGGAATTAATTATATTAATTTATAAAATACAGTATTGTTATGTCAAGAAAATAAAGTAAATTTGCAAAGGATGAAAATGCCCAAAATCATAATGGGCAAAATACTCCAAACGAGAAAAAATTTGACCCAGATGATTATTTTATTTAGCTAAGATAAAAATTTTCTAGGCCAAAGAAAATAAATAATGCTTTTCTCAGTAATAACGGGAACGAAAACATTGAATTATATACTCCTAAAAATACTCATTTAATGATTTGTGTGAAAGAAATAGAAGCAGGCAATGCATTTGGAGAGTTAGCTTTACTTAATAATAAACCTAGATTAGCTACTATTGTTTGCCATGAAAATTGTTAGTTTGCCATTTTAGAGAAAGAAGACTTTACTAAAATTCTAAAAGATATTGAAGAAAAGCTACTTGATTAAGAGATATCATTATTAGCTAATCTCCACATTTTTTAAGGATGGAACAAAAACTTACTTAAATAGCTTTATTTAAATAGTTAGAAAGTTAAATTTAACAGAGGATAGGTCATATTCAAAGAAGGAGATGCTTGTGATAATGTTTATATTGTAAATCAAGGGGAGTTTACAGTAAATTTAATTCTCTTTTATATGTTATTTTTCTTATTTTATTTTTAAGACATATAAAATATTTGAGTTCAATCGCGACTAGGAATCAAAAGATTTAAATTTAGATGAATTTAAAGAACAAAATATCGTTGATTAGTTAAATTAAGTTCATGGCAGTTAAAAGTCAATAGAAGCATTACCTATAAAGGTATATTTACTTTTTCAAATTCTTTTTCTTTCTACTTTATTTTATTTTATTTTTTGATGATTTAAAAGAATTAACGAAAGCTATTTTAAAGTATAATTTTTTAAAAATTAAATAAATATCATATTTATAATTAGATGTCTATTTTAACTCCTTTCGAAATGTTCGGGGAAGAAGATTTTCTAATGAAATAAGATAGAACATTTTCAGTTAAATGCACATCTTTTTAAGGTTAGCTGATAGTAATTAAAAATAAGAATTTTAACATTAGAATTATGTAAGACGATTACACTAGACAGTATTTATATGAAAGACTAGAAAAGAAAAAAAAAACATTTGATCAACGATCACAGACGATTGTCCAACAATACAGATAATATAAATAATATTTGTTGGCATCTACTGACAATTTATTTGATTTCTGTATTGAAGCTATTAAGAAATAAAGTAATGAAGAAACTGATTATCACTAAATTAATTTTGGTTCAAAGAGTATTTCTCCAGCTAAGTCAAATAATTAGCAAGTAGATTTAAAGCAAAAGCAAAATAATTTTAAATTAGTTTAATAGAAATTTGAGCAGTAAGAATAGCAATAAGATAGTATTCATATGCTTTAAAAAGTTCTAAATTATGACTTAAAATATCATAGACAAAGCCTGTAAAAAGGATTATCTGGGATGTTCAATAAAGAGTTCAAAGATACAAGTATAAGAAAAAACCAAAAAGAAGTTAATATTGAAATGTAACATTATGCAAAATAATTCAATTAGTACGAAACAGATAAATTTATCAACATGAATGCTTAAGAGGAGATAAATAATCAGGAACTATCCAGCAAATTAGCTAATGAACAAAATCATGTTAATGATTAATAGTATAGCAAAGAGCAAAGATCCAAGTCTGTCTCTACATTAAAAAATGAAACAAGAGATTAGCTTTTGAATTAATATAGATAAATAATTTATGAATAGTCATCTATACACTTTAAAATTAAATGTCACTAAGCTTAAAAGCCAAAATCAGACAGATCTAAAATTGATTATTTGTAGATTATGAGAGAAAAAGAACAAGTTATATAGAGTCCTGATAAAGTAATATAAAAAAGAAGAAGAGCAGTTAGCGCTAATTCTATTAAAGAATTATAGCATAACTTATCTCTTAATAAAAGCATCCAAAGCTAAAAAAAGGGAATAAACTACTTTTCTATGATTCCAACTGTTAAAACAGAAGCCTCTCCTGAAAAGGGTTTATATAGGTATTATTCTTATAATCCTCCAACTTCAAGAAAATCTATTAGTGATTCCTTCTAACAAGAAAAGAAGTAAAGCTAAAGTAATAATTTAGAAATTTAACAGCCATAAGAAATGTGCTTTGATTAGTAATAAGAAGATATTTATGATTAAGATAAGTAATAATAAGATAAAATCAAAAATTAATTAGATAAATAAATTCAAGTTTAAAATAGTGTTCTTGATAAAAATAAATATTAATTAATAAAAGTTTATTAATCTCAAAACAAACAAAAATAAAATTTGGTGAAATAATAATAATATATCACAAATTATTTTATTGGTGAGCGAAATTAAAAAATACTAACAAGGTCATAATCTTAAAATTAGATAAATATTAATTAGAATATTTAAGAATAAAAAGGAATCAAAAATTAATAACAAACTAAAGTTTTAAATTAAAAGACGAGATCCTCATCAGTTTAAACTCCATTCAAAGATACAATAATTATAAATAAATGTCATCTTTAATCAAAAATTTAAAATGAAAAATAAATTCATGACGAGATAAGTGAAGATATTAATGCTCTGAATTAAATAGATCAATTAAAAGAAAATGCATTTGTATAATATTAGATAAATAATTTAAATTAAGATCATATAAGCTAAAACGTCCATCATTTTACAAATTAAATATCTTAATAGTATCAATAAAAATAGCCAACTCAAGCTCTATTCAAATTAGCTAATAATACAAACTAAAGTGAAAGAGAAATAAAAGAAGACTAAAACAGCAATACTTTGCATTATAATTTATAAGATTAACTGAGAAAACCAAAATGGAGATATGAAAAATATGATATATTAGGTAATATAAATCTGTTAGATAGTTAAATGTCTAAGATTAAAAACTTGTAAAAAAATGGGATAATTTAAAATTCAATTTTATAAAAACAGACAGAAAATTCTTAGGCTTTTATTGCTTCTAAAATAAGACAAAAAAAATGAGAAAAATTAAATTTTATATTTTATATTTATGAATAAATTAGTAAATTTTTATAAAATTTATTTTCTCATCTTTTGATAGATTTAATGAAAAAATAATATTTTTATTGAATTAAATATCATTACAATCAGCTATAAAGACGGCACAAGCAAATTTTTGTTTATGAAATATATTTCCAAAAGTATATTTTTATTTATTTATCTTTAATTAAAATTATGCTCCCTCTTTGATATATTTTTTATTCAAATATAAGATAGGAATTTTTTTTTGAAGCAATGGTTGCATAATTATAAATTTTTATAGAAAACTTCTACTAATTGAGTTTAACATTTACAGAGAAATTATTTATTATTTTAAAATTATTTAATTTTTTCTATTATATGATATTGATTATATATTAGCTTACACTTTTTGTCCTCAAGGAAAGTAATTTTGCAATTTTTTGAAATATCTTATCTAATTTCATCTAAATTTAAATATTATTCGTAGTAATTTTTGTATTCTTTACTTTCCTATATTTAAGATATAATATTCTTCAATTCTTGTTTACTCAAATTTTAGTTAATTCCTTCTTGTATTTGTATTAATTCTTCATTTTTTTATATTATTTTTTTGATAATATCATATAAAAAGCTTTAAATCAACTATTCGATTTCGAAAGTAATTTTAACATATTTTTTTTCAATTACTTCACATTCATCATTATTTTCTGATATTTTTGCTTCAGAAAAACAGTCAGAAAGCTAAAATAAAACAAAAGTACATTTAGCACTTATCTTGTCTGGTGTATACACTACTTAAATTTTATCTTCTTATTTAACTTATATTAAATTTTTCATTTCAGGGTGCATTTTTTCTGTTTGTACAGCTATATAATAATACTCATTGTATTCAAAAAATAATAAATCAATTTATTTATCTATTTTTAAGTCATAATTATGATCTTATATAAGCAAGTTTATTTAGAAATATTATTCCATAGCATTTATTATTTCGTTAAAATTATCAAGTTTATGATTTGTTGATATATAATTTTTTAATAAATCAAATAAAATTTCAGAATACTTCTCTTATGTTGAATCGTATACTGCATCTAGTAAAGGATCATTATAAACTTGTTCAATAGTACCAGCGCAAAAATTAACAATGTCTTAGTATTTTTTGTAATTGTTATCTTATTTTTATGAGTTCAATGCTTTAACTAATATTTCATATCTACTTTTATTTAAAGCAAATAACCTTACAAACGAATAAATACACATATTTAAGCATTCCTCTATTTTTTATTCCAACGATGTTTTTGTATTTTCGCATTTCCATATGTGAATTTTTTTCATTTAACTATATTATTCAGGAAGTAACTATTTTGCTTTTTATTTTATTTCATCTATCTTAACATATTAATAATGATGTTTTAATTTAAATTTATTTTAAACAAATTAAAAAAATATTTTTGCTTATGCTAACATTTCTTTAGTTATTATTTTTGTGATTAATACTTTTTATTTTTTTGAAGTTTAAATTAAATATATAATATGAATGTTCTTAGAATATTTTTTTGTAATTATATAATAATTTAAGCTTGAATTAAATAAAATTGAATATATCTATTTTAAAAAAAACTAATTTCAAAAATGATAAATGTTTTATTAAAACTAATTAATTATAATAAATTCATATTATTTTATTTGTTTTGTAAAATAATTTAAAATTTATGAAATTAAAAAATTTGACAGACATAAAAAAGTTATCTTCTTTTTTTTATAATAATTAATAAGTCACTTAAATTAAATAGATCATTTCAATTGCATAAATTCAATAGATAGAATTCGTCAAATCATTATAAGATTAAAAATTATATTAGCATGAAAACTTTTACAGGGACTTAGCGCTAGTCTCAAAATTTAGATAAATTAACCATGATGCAATTCAAGGCCACAACAGATTTACATAGTTAACTAGTCAAAGAGCGAAAAAAAATAGATTCAACTCGTGTTTTTGTGAATACTGGTAAAGAATTGTTAAAGTAAGCACGAATTGAAAAGATGAATGAAAAACTCAACCCAATTAAAGATATGACAATTGAAAGCGAAGTTATTGCTCTCTCTAATTTCTCTAAACCATTTACACATCCTAGAACTTAGGAAATGATTTAAAAATAGCGTGAATCTAGGCGTGATAGACATATAAAAACTTTAAATGATTTTGAAAAGTGGACAGAATCTCTTTCAAACGATGTTGTTGACAGTTACACTGAAATCAAGCATGATATTGAAGATTATTTTATCTAGCATGATAAGGAATTGAACGCATATTTCGATAAATTTTCAGATCAAGAACTGCTTAAAAGGGAAAAAGATTTGTTAGATGAAATTAACCAAATAGTTGTGGTAACTAACTAATTCTCATATTATTTAGAAAAAAAAAATTATTAAATGTCACCAAACCATAAAAAAAAAACATATCAATTCAAAGCATATAAATTAAAGCATTAAAATATTTTACATGGATAAATAATAGAATTTAATAAGCAAATAAATTGCAAATTGCTGCAAAAATTTTAAAATTAATTGACTATAGTTACTTTACAGATAGAATATTGATATTATTTTAAATTCAAAAGGAATGTGGAATTAAAAAGGAAAACAAAGTAGATAATCTCGATAACCGTCTTGAAGATTTAGAAAAAGAAAGGGAAAAGAATTTAAAATTCTTTTGTGATAAATTAGAATTTACACTTATCGATATTGCTTTTGAGTTAGAACCTCAGGTTAAAGTTTTAGTGGATGTAAAGCTTTGATTCAATTTAATATTTTTATAAATATCTGATCGTTTTTTTTTTTTTGAAGATTAAAAGGAAAGAGTTTGAATAAATTGTTGCATAAAAAAGAATAGAAAATGATGATTATATTGCTAAAATAAAATAACAATAAAAGGAATCCTTTGAAGTAATATTTAAATGTTTTTAAAAATATTTCAATCAAATTTTATTTGAAAAGGCTTTTGTTTAAAGATAAAATTAAGTCGATAAAAGATGGAGAAAACTTAAACATGATGCTGCTTTTGAAGAATTTATGGTGGATATTAAAAAGATGGAATATGTAAATCCTGATAAAAGAATTCAATTATACGAAGAACTCAAGAGACAGCATGTTACTATTTATAACAAAAGAAACAGCTTTATTTAAAAGTTGGATAAACTTGATATCTTAAATATTAGCAAGGCTTATGTAGAAAAATGGATAGAAGATACTAAGAATTTCCACGAGCAAGCTTAGGAAATATTAGATGCAAGATTTGAAGCTTTAATAAAAGAAAGTGAAGAAGCAAAATAACACTCTATTGATAGAATAAATTAATTACATGATCGACTAGAGTAATTTAAAGCGATTTTATTTTGTTTTATGTTGAAATTTAATATTGTAAAATTTAGGTATGTAGGGCATTTAAATACATAAGATCTAAGTAGCTTAATTGAACTTGAGTGTATTTCAATATCTAATAAACTTTACGAAGATAGCAGAGATCTTCTTACTAAGGCCATAAAATTTGTTGAAGAAAGTGATTTTAAATAGAATGAGTTAGTCAATAATATAGGCAAGTTCTTTAAGAATATAGGAGAAAAAAATGATGAAAATAAAAAAAATTACACTAAAATGAATTTTGAATATGAATTAAAAAAGGCAAATATTGCTGATGAAAATGATGAAAAACTCATTCAGCTAAATGATGAATTTGAAAAAATTAAAGTAGAAATGAAGATGGCTCTACACCATCCAAAATTAAATGAAGTATTAGATACTTGTTTCAAGAAAATTGATGAAATAGAAAATGAATACAGAGATTTCCATGATAAAAACTAATCTCTAGCAAAAGAGCATCCAACATTTATTTTAAACCTTTATGCTGGCTTTGAAAAAGCTGTTGCTCAATTCTTTGAGCTACACGATGTTTCCAAAAAGTAAGAATTAGAACAAAGAAACTTAAAAAGAGCTACAGAAAAGGCTTAAAAACTAATTGAAAGAGAAGATAAGATGAAAGAAATAGAGGAATATAAAGCTGCCTAAGAAGCTGCTGCTGCCAAAAAAGGAGGTGCTCCTCCTAAAAAGCCTCCTCCTAAAAAAGCAGGAGACCCTAAAAAGGCAGCTGCAGAAGCTGAGCAAAGACTAAAGACTGCAATAGAATAAATAGGTATAGAGCAAGTTGAATAATTTACATCTTCTGTTACCTAAAACTAGTATGTAGTTGCTTACTCAGTCGAAGAAATAGCTAAAAGTAAGTTTTTATTTTTTTAATTATTTAAAAATTAAATTTTAAAAGTTTAATATAATAATTGAAATTTTTATTACTTTATATAATTAATAATTAAAACAAATATTTTAATGAAAGATAATTCAAATTTATTTAAATTGATTTTAATTTATTTAAAATTAAGGATTTTATGAGATTTAAGAAGAGGAGAAAAAAGAAGAAGTAGCTGAAGCTCCTTAGTAATAAGAATTAAAACCACCTGAGCCTGTACCTGCTGCAGCTACAGGAAATAAAAAAGACGATAAAAAAGCATAGCAACCTGCTCCTGCTGCTAAAAACGCTAAGGTACCAGAATAAGTTAGTACATTTGAAATACCTGTTTTAGAAGAAGAAAAACCTATTATTCCTGTTGATTTTAAAGCAGATCCTCCTGTAGATCCTGAAGGAAGAATAATTTTGGAAGTAAGCACAATATATAAATAAAAAACTATGACTTATAAAAGTTTAATATTTTTAAAAAAAGAAAAATGTTGTTGTAGAGTTAAACTTCATGGTAAATTTGATCGAAAATTGTAAGAGAAAATTATTTGACTACATCTCTAAATTATAAAATGATGTTATTGATTCGGCTAAAAGCAATGATAAGGACTTTGTAATAAAATTTATTATAAAAACTAAATAATTTTAAAAACTGATTTTAATTTTAGATCGAAAATTCAATTTTAATCTTGGATGAAAGACTTAAAGCCCACTACCCATTGAAAGGAAAGATGGAAGTTGAAATATATTAGATTAGATCTGCATAAATAACAGTACACAAAAAACGATACGAAAGGCATGCTAGGACAACTATAGAGAAAGTCGATTTGCAGACAGAACATTTTAATTTCCTGATGGAATAAGCATTTGAGGATCTTTAAGAACACGAAGTTGAGTAAAAGAATTATAAAGAATCTCTTTCTTCAGCTACTACATTGGCAAAGCTGTAAGGAATATAAAATCATGTGAAGGAAAACGCTTTTAAGTTTGGAGAAAGTAAAAATAAGAATTTTATGAGATTTTTATTTAATAATCAAATTAAATTTAATAAATTAAATATTTAAAGAAATTAGAGATCTTGAAGAAAAGTTAACTGTTTTAGGAAACGCAGAAGTTGAATTCTTGCTATAGAAGAATAGGGCTTTTATAAAAGAAAGTAAACTATTTGAAGATGGTGGAGAATATTCTAAGGACGAGGTTTAATGGTATGAAGGAATGATGAAAGAAATAGATGACTAGCTTAACAGTTAAAAACAAAAAAGAAATATTAGCATTGCAGAAATACTCAAACACCTTAACTAAAAGAAAACAGAGTTACTAGAAGCCTTTGAAAAATAATATGTAATAGCAATTGAAGAATTGGCAGCTAAAGTAATTTTTAAGATTTATTTATTCTTTTTAGCTAACTTTTAAATTTAATTATAGGATGGTACTGGCAAAAAGTATGGCAGACCTCGTAGATATGTATAAGAAAGAATGAGGACAGAAATGACTAAATGTGAAAAGGCTTAGGATGCAGTTAATGAGTAAGCATTCTATTATTAAATTTATAACTATATTTATATCAAATATTTATTAGATTGCTAGCTTAATTAAGAAATATGTATACAGAGTACAAAGATAATATTAAAAATGTATAATATCACTTAGATGAAGCTAAAAAGTAAAATTCTAAAGACTTATTTGCAATGAGGGTAAGATAAACCTTAATGACTCTGAGAACATGCATAGGAAGGTACGCTACTCATTTAGATGCACTTAAGCCAGATTCTTAAGTACAAGAAATGCCAAGAGTAACTTATATTGAAAAAAAATTTGATTGTGTTTTGGATCCTACTGAGTAAGAATAAGATTTAATATGGAAAGAAGCTGAACTTGAATTCATAGGACCTCTTTTCTTTTAAAAAGAGCCTCACAAATTTATGGATTGGGTTACAGAAATAGAAAAGAATACCATTTTGGAAGCTCAGAAGATATATGTAGGAGACAAAAGTAAGTTCCTAACTGGAGCAGATAAATGCCCAGACTACCTAAGGAATTATATCTAAAACAATCGTAAGAATGCAGAAGAATTTAGAATTTCATCTTGCAGAAATCTAAGAAATTCATGCGAAGAATTATCCTAACTATCAACAAATATTTCTGAAATGATAATTCAATCTATGAATGCTAGATACAGTTTTAACTTAAATTTGAAAGGTAAGATATTGTTAAAAAAAAAAATTTTTTTTTGCAAAATAAAATATTAATTACTTTTTTCTTCAAAATATTTATAGATGATATTTAAATGAAGGAGTTTGCATAGCTGTAAAATATGCACTAAGAAAAAAAATAATAGCATCTCTAACAGCTTCGCCCTAATCTTTCAAATCCATAATGCAAACCAGAATTAATAGATTTGGTTAAAAGAGAAAAAGAAAGAATCACTAACTACTTTTAATCATGCAAACAATTTAAAGAGAGTTTACTTGATTTAAGATTTGTAGAATCAAATGAATTCTTTAAGAGTCTTCTAAACCACTTTGAATTTTTGCTCACTTACTATGATTCTGAAGTTCTTTTTGAAGATTTCAAGAAACTGCCAGGAGGTAATTAATTAGTTATTTTAATAAATAAAAATGATATTTCAAAAAAAAAGAAATTAAATTTTTTAAAAATAACTTTTAAACAAATATTTTTAAATAACTAAATTATATTAATTTAATAGATGATGATATCCAAAAGAAACATGAAAATATTAAAGTGCTTTTAAGAATGAAACAAAAAGGTACAGTAATTGATACAAGCAGTGAAAGATCATTATCAAAAGTATGGGATGGTATACTCTTAACAACTTTCTGTTTTGATGATAAAAAAATAGAGTATAAACTTACTACTATTTAAGAAGATGATAAGGCTAAAGGAGGAGCCAAAAAAGATGCTAAAAAGGCACCTCCTGCAAAAGCTCCTCCTGCTCCAGCTAAAGGAGGTAAACCTAACGATAAATAACAAGAAGTATTAGAGGAGAATCCTAATTTAACAAAAGCAATAAAATCTTTTAAAACCTATAGATAAAAGAGTGCTAATTCTTGGAAAAAATAAATTTTAGAAGATTTCAAAAAATCTTTCGAGGGTAGAGTTTAACAAATAAAAACTTTCTTCGAAAAGTAAGAGATGGATGAGTATAAATTCGAATTTAAATGGGAATAAAATGTTAGCTCATTAAATAACTTATGATTTTATTTAATTACAAAATTTCTGTTAGCGTCTTTATTTTACTTTTTAAAATTATAAATAAATCTATAAGATATTTTTATAATTGATTTAATTATTTGATATTGATTTTCATTTTATAAATATTTTCAATATTTTTACTTAACATAAATAGAAATTTTTTAACACTATGATATTCATAAATATAAAAATAATAATAAATATATCTATCTATCTATCTATCTATCTATCTATCTATCTATCTATCTATCTATCTATCTATCTATCTATCTATCTATCTATCTATCTCTCTATCTATCTATCTATCTATCTATCTATCTATCTATCTATCTATCTATCTATTTATATTCTAAGTTAAATTATCTAATTATATAATAAAACATATTATTTTCTTTTATTCAAAATTTTAATATATATTCATCCTTTCTCACCATTTGTCTATCAAACAAATAAATTTATTTTAAAGACTACTAATCTTTTTGATTTAAGACACTTGCTTTTTACTTTCAAATATAATGGTTTATTGATTTTGTTTCCACTATTAAATAAATTAGTTCAAATTACTAAAAAAAATAAAATAGAATAAATCTTTTAATTAAAAATTAATTTATAAAAAAAATTTTCGCAGAATAATAAAAAAATAAATAAATAAAATAAAAAGCAAATAAACAAATTAAAAGAGTTATATTTTTTGTTTTAAATTCATTTTTATAACTAAAAATATCACAATCCAAAACTAATAAAATATTTTTACCCAAAATAAAGTCTCATATTTGAGAGATTATGGCAATTTGCTAAAGCAGAAACTAAGCATGATACACCTTAGTCACCAATTTAATTCCAACTTTTTAAATATTGATGAAAAAACAAATAATTAATTAGTTATTTAGAAGGAAAAAATGAAGAAAAAATAAGATATGAATTAATAAATTATAAAAGCAAATTTAGAAATAAAAAAAATGAGTTAAATTAAGAAGGATAAAAAAAATACAAGTACAGTAAAAACGAAAAAGAAAAAATATAACAATCCTAAACAAATTAACTGTTTTTACTTAAGATAAAGTGTCAAATTTGAGAGATTAATGCAATTTGCTAAAGCTGAGCCTAAACCTGAGGCACCTTAGTCACCAATTTAATTCCTACTTTTTAAATATTTTAAGAAAATATATAATCAATTAATTATTTAGTAGGAAAAAATGAAGAAAAAATATGAAATTATAAGTAATAAATTAATAAATAATAAAAGCAAATGTCAAAAATAAAAAATGAGTTAAAAAAAGAAAGATAGAAAAAAAATAAAACATATGTACAATAAAAATAAAATAAAATATTTAATAACAAATTAAAAGAGTTATGTTGTTTTAAATTCATTTTTATAAATAAAAATATCACAATCCAAAACAAATAAATTGTTTTTACGCAAGATTAAGAGTCAAATAGGAGAGATTAATGCAATTGGCCAAAGCAGAACCTAAATCTGATGCACCTTAGTCACCAATTAAATTCTTACTTTTTAAATATTGAAGAAAACATATTGAATTAATTAATTAGAATTAAAAAATGAAGAAATAATATGAAATAATAAAAAATGAATTTAATAAAATAATTTCTTAAATTAAGAAAGATAGAAGAAGAAAAAAAACAAAAATACAATAAAAAAGAAAAAGAAAGGTAAATCAAATAAAATTCTAATAAACAAATTAAAAGAATTATATTGCTTTAAATTCATTTTTATAAATAAAGTATCACAATCCAAAACAAATAATATATTTTTACAGAAGATAAAGTGTCAAATTTGAGAGATTAGTGAATTTTGCTAAAGTAGAACCTAAGCATGGTGCAATTTGATCATCAATTTAATTTTCACTTTTTAAATATTGAAGAAAAATATAATTAATTAGTTAAGGAAAAAAATAAAACGCAAGTACAATAAAAAAGAAAATGAAATTGTAAATCAAATAAAAAACTAAAAAACTTATTAAAGAGTTATATTTTATTAAATTAATTTTTATAACGAAAAATATCACAATCCTAACAAATAAACTATTTTAACCTAAGATTAAGTGTCAAATTTGAGAGATTAGTGCAATTTGCTAAAGCAGAGCATAAGTCTGATGTACCTTAATCAGCAATTTAATTCCTACTTTTTAAATATAGAAGAAAAAAAATTAAAATAATAACAAATGAATTAACAAATAATAAAAATAATATAGAAAAATAAAGCAATGAGTTAAATTAAGAAAGATATTAGAGGAAAAAAACAAGTACAATAAAAAAGAAAAAGAATAGTAAATCAAATAAAATACTAATAAATAAATAAAAAGATTTATAATGTTTTAAATTGATTTTTATAGCTAAAAATATCACAAACCAAAACAAATAAGCTGTTTTTATCAAGTAAAAGTTTTATAAGGAAAAAATGAGAATAAATATTAAATTATAAAAAATTGATAATTCATTCAATAAATATTAAATTATAAAAAATGGATAATTCATTCAATAAATATTAGTTTAAAATTACGTTAAAATAACTAAAAAAAATGTTTATAAATAAAATGAATGAATGAATGTAGGTGATAATTTTATTAGAAAAATAATTTTTTTAATAAAGTAAAAGTTAAATGTATAGAAAATATTAATAATAATAATATTTATAAGTTAAATATACATCAGATCAATATAGAGAGCCTAATGAGATTAAAGTGAAGAATTTATAAACTTTTTATATTAGTAAAAATAAATTTTAAATTATATTTATTAAAAAATCAATAATTACTACTTCCAATTTGTTGTAATATTCAATCTATTATATCATTTACTTTTTTTAAAAAAACATTGAGAAGCAATTTATGGAAATTTAATTCATTATAAGTGGATAAAAAGAAAAAATAAATTATATGAATTTATAAATTTATTTTTAGTAATAGAAATCACAAAAAGGTTAGTGTAACATTCATTATTTCTATTTAAAATGTATACTTGTAAATATAGTAGGAATTAGAGATTGGATATAAAGGATAATGACTAAAATAAAATAAATTTTATACATATATATTTAAATGTATTTTTGTAATCAGATTTATTTTCATATTTTTTAAACTGGTGCAGCTCAAAGTCAAGATTTAATTATTGATAAAAATAAAAAAAAATATTTTATATTAAATTATGTTTACTCAAAATTAACATTTTATGTTTTTAGTATTATAAACAAAATTCATATTGATAATTATTGTTAAAATTACTAAAAATTAGTTTAAATTGTTATAAATTTTTATGATAATTTAAATTTTTTCATATTTTATTTTTTTCATTATAAATTAGCATTTCTTCAATAACTTTTTTGAGTAATTCTCTTCTTTATTCTTTTAGTCTTTGCTTTTTAGTGTCTACTTTCTCATTGAAATATTCAGGGAAATCTAAATTATATTAAATATTTAATTAATAAACTTTAAATTATAAATAATTGATTACTCTTTAAAACTATTTTTCTATCGGCATCGTATAATACTTTATCTCCAGTTAAATTAAAACCAAATCTTCCTTTTGTAATAACTGTTGATTTTTCTTTTATTTCAGGTAGCTATTTTTATATTCATTTTTTTAATTCATAAATATTAATTTAAAATTACTTATTAATCCTTTAGTAATCTATTAATTTCTAAGTCTTAGTTAAATTCTTTAATTGTCTTTATGTTTGGGTCAGATTGCTAATGCTCATTGAAATTTAGCTTGATTTCTTTTTAGAAAGTTTTTGTTTAAAGTCCTTCAAGTTTAGAGAACATAGTATCTATACTATGAAGCTTTTTGCTTTCTAAAGTAGAGTGGTTGTTGAATTAACTTTAAAGATCAGGAGTAATAGAGTTGAATCCAAATGACTTTTAACTAAAACTTTTGACTTTTGAAGTATATCTTTATTAGCTAATAACATCATCTACTTTCATTTTTTGTTCTAATTTAAATAATTAAAACAATTGATTAACTAACTAACTTACTAACTAATTATAATTCTACTTGATTTATTTTCTGCATTTTCTTCTTCTTGTTTCTTTTATAAATATTTAAAATAAATAAATAAATAAATACATTTTCTAGTGATCAAATTACATTAATTTATTGAAATAACCTTATTATTCGCACATAAAAAAATGAAATAAATTAAGAATTTTATTACTCTTTAATTTTCTTTTTCTATATCCTAGTGTTTTTGCAAAGTCTTAAGTAAATTTTGTTTCTACTTTTCAAATAGGTCGTTATCTTTCTCCTAATAATGAGATATGAACGATACTTTTAAATTCTAGGCTTTTTCACCTCCATAATTAAATAAACTAGAATTAGTAGTGTTATCAAATTTAACTAAACTTTCGCACTTTTTAATAAAATTTCGCTTTTCTCTATTCAGTTTAAATTCATATTTTTGATTCTGATATGGTTGCGTTCTTGGACATGGAAATTAAGTATATCCTTAAAATTTATCATTCTATGGAGTATATAATGCTTTTTGAGACTGATAATTTTTAGACTTTACTTTAAAAGGCATATACTATGCATCCTTTTTATTTATTTTAAATAAATAAATTATGAAACTATTCTATTTAAATTGATTTTAATTGAATTAAAATAATACTCCGTTTGCTGCAGCTACTCTCTAATCATGATTAACTTATCCAGTCAAATTAACATTAAATTTTTTTATGTATTCTCCAGTTTTATTAACTCTCTTTTTCTCTCCTGTAACATTATTAAGTAAATAATGTTTTCCAGTATCCATATCATACCTGTTTTTTACAAATCCATGAATAAAAATACTGTCCTCTTATATTCACTATATGCAAATAAATCTGCTTAATCATGTATTAAATTTCACACCATAATGAGACCGACTAAGGTTCTTTTTGCTTATCTCCTTAACTTTATGTTTTCTCCATTTTACTAAAATTTAAAAGAATAAGTAAACTTTGTAAATTTATTGGCTTTAATTAAATAAATATATAACTCTCAAAAAATATTAAATATTGCACACTTAATTCATATCTAAAAAAATTAATCTACGAATATATAAATAGTTAAAACGTCGTACTTAAATGAATTAATGAATAATATTATTTTAAATAGTTTTAATGTTTTTACTCATTTCAAATAATTTATAAAATAATTTATTTCTAAGAGATATTTTTAATTTTATTAAAATGATTTATATCACAAAAAAGTCATAATAAATTTGTTAATTTATCACATGCTTTAATTTAATAATAGATCATTTTTTTAAGGATACTTAGATTTGACTTGTTCAACATTCTAAAAATCTTTTATTTAAACTTCTTCAGCAAGCTAATCTAGTGATTTTTCACATACTTTAATTTAATAATAGATCACTTTTTTAAGAATATTTTGATTTAGCTTGTTCAACATTTTAAAAATCCTAAAAATCTTTTATTTAAACTTCTTCAGCAAACTAATCGAGTAGTGAATTTTAAAATTAAATTGAAGTATCTAAAATACTTCTTTCAATAGTGTTTTCAAGCATTTTGATTGCTTTATTATATTTTATTTGCTTGCTAAATCCTAAGTTCTAATCAAAATTTTGGTTATTAATTTCCTCTTAAAACAAGTATAAACTAGTTTTTTCAACATTATCAAATATTTTTTATCTTTCTATTTATCTTTGTTTTAAGCATTCGCTGTATATATATTACAATGATAATTAAATTAATATTTAAACAATTTAAATAAAATACTTTTGAACTGTTTTAATTATTAATTTTTTTATTTTATCTTCCATGTTCTTTTCCTTTAGTTATTTTTCTTTTTGCATTATTTATATTACTTTTATATCCTTTTTAGCATAAATAGAATATTAGATATAAATTATTTAATAATTTATTTACTTGAACTTTCTTTTAAGATTCTACTGAATCTTTAATATCTTGATTCCTGGCTTGAGCAAGGGCTCTTTTATAGTTTATCATATTATTTTAATCAACCTAAAAATAAAAAATAAAATATTTTTATAATTTAAAAACAAAATTTAATTACCTCCTTTAGTTTTATTAAGGCATTATGTCTTTCTACGTTTAATATTTTGTTGTATTCTTTTAATCTTTATATTTGTATAAAAATAATGTTTATTTTTTATCAAATATTAACTATACTTTATTTAATAAAATTTTTAATTTTAAAATAAATTCAAATTCTCAAACAGTTAAAAAAGCTTTAAAACTATACTTAAATCAGAAAGTAAAATAATATCCTTAAATGTTAGAAATACAAGAATAATTGTAAATAATTAATATTTAGATAATTTAAGGTTATTTAATTCAATTAAAATAAACATATTTTACCCAAATTCCTAAAAATAGCTAGATAGAATAAATAACAATATAATTGCATGAAAAGTTTTAAATTTATATTTAAATAAAGAGTTTTTGACAAATAGAAAATGTTTACTTTATTTCTTCATTCAACTTCTTTGTATTATTATTATAGCTCTTCTCTCTTTCTAAGAGCTCAAGCTTTTTTTAAAGTATTTTTGCTTTTCTTTCTCTTTCTTTCTCTATTTTATTATAATATTTTAATAATATTTTTGAAAGGAGAAAAACAAACTAAACTATTTTACCTAACTAAAATTACTCTACTTTTTCTAATTTAAATAGTAATTTGTTTATTTAATTTGAATGATCTTGAATTTTTAATCTTTAGGCATAATTCATAGTTTCTTATTCTTTCATATTAAATTTAACAATTTTATCTTGCTTCATTCTTAATAAAGCTTCTTGTCTTTACTTTGCTAAAATTTCATCTTCTATCAAATTATCTTATATTTTTACTCTTAAATTATAATCTTCTTCCATTTTAATTCTTTATTTCTCTTAGGTATCTAAAGACTTTTCATAATATTTTTAAGATTACTATTTTATCAGCATTTCTCTCTCATTTTTGAGCCTTTAAATTCTTTCATCACTTTTGTATGAATATTTTTTATTTAAATTTTAAATATACCATCAATAATTTTTACATTTCTTCATGTTTCCTTGTGATTTTTTAAATTTTATTGTATAGACTATATTTATTTGTTACTTCAGCTTAAAAGCACTTCTCTTATTTTTATAATTTTTTATTTTAAATTTCTTAGCTTTTTGAAAACGCTTCTTCTTTCAGCTATTATATTCGTTGTTCAGCAAGCTAGTCTTTTCTTTTTATATACTCAGCCTGATTTTCTCTCATTTACTCCTATTTTATAATTTCTAGGGCTTTTTTCTTTTAAAATTGTTAATTAAAGCAAAAACTTAAAGCATATTATTGTATTAATTTAAATATTAAAGTGCTACTAAATTTAATTAAAGCTATTTTAGATTTTATTTAACTAATTTTTTAAATATTAATTTAAATTGAACTTCTTAAAAGTAATAATAATTTTAATTATAAGTTTGCTTACCTAAATGAGCTGCTTTTGTTTATCAAATTTCTTTAGCTCTTTTTCTAAATCAGAAGAAAAAGTATCATTAACTGATGGTAATGTTTAGAGCATTCTAACCATATTGAAGTCTTTGTAGCTTTGCATTAACGAAGAATTAATAATATTTGAGTATCTTACCATACTTGGACTAAGAGATTTTGATTTTTCTCCCATAATTGAAATGGTAGCTTAAATTTTACGAAGATTTCTATTAGTTGATTAAACAAACTAGTTATAATCATCTTAAGTAAAAAGCTATTTAGAAGAACCTTATTATATAGAAGCACTTCCTATATAAAATGAGGAAGGACTTGATTACTTAGACTAATCAATAAGCTTTTTTCCATCTAAGACTTTAATTATTTCATCTCTTTTTTTAGAAATCCTAATAACTAGTTCTTTATAAAATAATGAAAAATTAATTGAATGAATTTTAATTTAATTATTCTATTCTGTCTGTCTTGTTTTACTTTAAATGAAATAAATAAAATTATTATAAAAAGTAAACTACAATTTATCTAAAAAGAATTTATTTTTTTTGAAAAAATTAAATTATATTTATTTATTTTGAAAAAATTAAATTATATTTTTTTATTTATTTCAAGAATAAAATAAAGATCTAATTTATATTGAAATTTATTTTTTATATTTTCAAAATGAAAATAATTTACTTGCAAGTTTTTTTTTAAGACAACTTTATTTGAGATTTTCGATAGGATCATCTACTTCTTCTTTTAATACTTCGTCTTTTAATTTACTTGATTAACGTTAAACAAAATTTAACTTTAAATATATGTTTTTAATTCTAGGTTTACTTATAATCTAAAAAATCCTTTTGAATTCCTAACTAAAATATTGATTCCTGCGTTCTAGGAGATTTTAAAGCTAATTCAAATCTTCCAACTTCTTGGACATAAAGTAATATTTTTTCTGTGTTAGTATCAACTTTAAAACAGAAATTTTTTTTATTTAAATTAATTCCCTGCTCTTTTAAATAAGAAAAAAACCTTTTATCACTAATTATTTGTTTATTAAAATATTTTACACTTGTCTTCCTTTTTGGTTCGCTTGCAGAAATAATTTGTCTTATCTTTTTTCTCAAGTGATTGAATAGAAGAATTACTTTGAAATTATTTTTATAGTTCATCTATGCTTTTTTATTCTATATACTAACTAAAAGAAGGAGAGTTTTGTCCAGTTAGTGTGGGTCCTATTTGTAATAATTTGAATTAACCCATATTATAAAAGTGATAATATATTTACTTTATTTTAACATTTATGCCTAGATATTAGGGAATAGCATATAATTCAAATTCTTCTAAGATTAAGGAGATGCTTAAATAATATTTATTTTATTTAGATTTAACTTGATAAAAATGAATAAATTTCATACCATTAATTTCACTTTAAGATTATTTTGGAGATTAATTAGTATTTGGAGGGATATTTAAGTTAGCATTATTGTTAGGAGTTTTTTGTTTTGGTATTGAAGAAACCATTGAATTTTCATCATCTTCAATTTTTTTCTCACTTTTTTAATCGTCTTCATTTGACTATATATCACTTAAGGTTAATTAGTCCTCTTCCTCTTCTACAGGCTGCAAATCTATCTCTATATTTGGCACTAATTATTTAATTTATAAAAATTAATTTATGAATAGGACATAAAAATAAATTAAGAATCTACATTATATTTATGACATATCACTTGAATAAGAAGTATTAGCATAATTTTTTTCTCTAAATCCCTTGTTGGATATGCTTTACAAGCTAGTTTATTCTTCCCTTTAATAAAAACAAATTATAAGTGAAAAATTAAATCAAATAAAAATACGCAGCATCAGTCATCTCTGTTTTGTTTCTACTATTTTTTGTTCTACTTTTCAATAATAAAATTATGTCTTTTCTTCTAAAAAAACTGATAAATTTGCTAAATATTAAGTTCAAAACAGATTATCATTCAAAATTGAGTTTTTTATAAATTATGAATAGGATTTTTTTACTTATTAAATTTTTAAGATAGATTCTAAGTATTTATTAAATTAAGAGTACCCTCTCTATCTACATACCTACCAATCCTTTCTGAAAAATAAAAATGGGACAAAAAGAATCTATTCACCATCATGTAAAAACTTTAAAATTTCAGGCAATTACATTTAAAATAAATATGAAAAAAGATATTGTTGTACGGACAATCTGGCCACGGAAAAACTAATTTTCTCTATGACAATTTTTTAAATGGAAGTAAATCATATTTTTGAATATCTGCAAAACTTATTAAAAATTTGTGATTATTAGAGTGGGAAGAAGAATAAAAAAAGGTTGAATCGTCATTAGGATATAATTTCGAATTAATAACTACACTTTAAGATTAAAATTATGGTGTATGGGATATATCAGGTCATCCTGAAGTAATTATTTTTTGATAAAATAACATATTCCATTTTAAGGTAAAATTCTATTAATGTAAACTAGTTTATAGACATGCAGGATCTATTTCTGAAAACGATTCCATTTACGGGGATTATGTATATAATTAGACCTAAATATCATTTAGGAAGCCTTGTTGAAGATAAATTAAAAGAAATAGGATAAGCAAGGCAATAAATATTTTACTTAACTAATCATAAAAACTTTACAAATAAATTTATTCTTATTGTATTAAATGTAATTAAATATTTTCAAAACGTTCATATTTCAATATAGTTTTTAAAAACTTAATAAAAGATTGAAGAAGAGTAACTGACAGCAAGCGGTGATGGGGATGTATCTGCTGAAACATTAGAACTATTAATTGATGAGATAAAAGAATTAATTAAATATGATTAAATTTAAGTACAATAAAAAGGTATCATTATTATGGATAGAGGCTTTTCTTATACTAAATTATGGGAAAAGGTTGGCTCTCTAATATAAGGAGTTAAAGCTATAGAAAAAAAGAAAGATCAATAAAAAGATTGATTCTATAAAATGCTATAAATAAATAATTTATAAATTTTGTTATGTATTTTTTTTACTTAAAATTATTATTAATTATTTTTAAGTAATTTTAAAATTACAAATAAAATTGTTAAGATAAATTAAGAAGTAGAAATTTTTTTTTAAATAAGAAATCAAAGTAGTTTTAAAAATTAAATTTCTATCAATTTTTGTAGAATAAATTATTTTAAAATTAATTAAATGTGAACAAAATAATATTAATTGAATGAATAAGAGTTGTTACATAAAAAATAAATATTTAGTTTTCTTAAAATTTATAATTTTTAAAAGGCATCAAAATACTTATTTTTATTTATAATTTTTTACAGTTTCAACCATAATAAACAATAAATAAATAGATTGAATGAAAATTTCAACTAGAAAATATTAATGAATGGTAAAAATTAATTAGATTTCTCAATAAGCTATTTGTAAAATTAGAACTAAAAAAATCACTTATTATTAGTTTTACTCTAATTTGATATAATGCTATATCTTTCAAGTAAAAACTTTTAAATCAATAATTCAAACGCTAGAAAGAATTACTATTTTAGCACTCTATTCTATTTTATAATAAATCCAAGCAACAAAAAAGCATTTAACTTGTAAATATTATGTATAGATAAATACCAACTGTTAATAAAATATGCCAAAAGAGGATAATTGGTCAGGATCAAGTTAGGCTCGAAAATCGTCTTAGAAATATTTAGGCATAGGTTGATACATCATCTCCTTAGACATATGAATATGGGAATTTAGCAAATAAGAAAAAAAATTAAATAATGGAAAGTTAATATATAGAGATCGAAAGGGAAAATAAGATTTTATTGGAAAAGATAACAAAAGTAATGAGCAAGGATCCGTTACAAAGTAAAATTTTGTCAAAAATGTTAACATTAATCAATTGATAAACAAACAAAACATATGTATGACCTTAGTTGTTAATTAATATTTTTCTAAATCTAGAAACAGTTCAATAATAGTAATAGATTATACATCATAATTAAATGATATAAAATAAAAAGAGCTTAAATGCTGCATAGAGAAAAAGAGAACTAGTCAAAATAACTGTAGAGAATTAAAATTTTTTGAAGAGACTGAAAGGAATGAAAAGTACTTATGAATAGAAAAAATAAATTAAATCATGGAGTGAACAATAGGAAATATGTAGCAGAATCAGTGAATTTGGTGCTACAAACAGAAAATTAAATTCAAAATCATCTATGTAATCAAGAAGCGTACCTAAGGGAATATAAAATTTAAATGAAAATACTCCTTCATAAAATATTCCAGCATCTGCTAACTTAACCTATGTAAATTATCTCCTATTTGAATACTATTTTTTTCTTATATTAAATATTGAATTTTTAAAATTTAGAGGTCAAGATAAAATTTTGAGACAGCTGAAAACCAGCCTTTAAAGAGTAAGCAAGATTATTTATTACAAAAATATTTTATTGAATTTTATTTAATAAATATTAAGAGAGAATTGGAAGTGGATATTTAGTAAATAACAATAAGCTTCAAAGAAATTTGAGTGGACTATCTAATAGCAATAATATAAATAAGAAAGTTACTCTTTTAAGAAAATCCAAGAAGATTGGCCTTAATTACTACTTGATAGAAATTATTTTAGAGGATGGGTAAATAGATTTGATTTATGTGCAATAATTAAAACATTTGTTTTTTACATTCTTTTGAGTCCTTTTTCAATAGCTTTTAGTCTATAAAATTGGCATAACAATATTTATTAAAATAGATCTATGTATATCAAAGATTTTAAATTATTATGTTCAAAAAATGTACTAATTAATAAATTTAAATACTTTTGAAAAAATGAAAATTAAAAAAATTTATTTAAATTTAAGAGATATTTAAAATAATTTATAAAAAATAGATTGTTTAAAATAATTGCAGATGATGCTGAGAATCCAACAAGAAAGGTATTAGAAATGAGTGAAAGTGATGGTACTAAAATATTAAAGAAGTATTTTGGAAATTCGCTGGATTAAATGCTTGAGAGTATCTGGATAACTGATAAAATATTCATAAGAGGGTTAGAAATGTTTACAACAGAAGAATCTTATCAGTCTAAAAATAGCAATAACAAATCTCAATCTCCTTCTCCTCATAAAAATTAATATATAAATAAAACTTAACCTGATGAGAAACATAGATTGGTAGCACCTATTAAAAAGTCAGCTTCTAATAAATCCTTAAATGCAGAAAATACTAAAATATATAATAAATAATTATCTAATCCTATGTAGATAATTGAATAGCCAGATTAGGAGTCTGTAGATATGTCAAATAGCAATCTAATTAATTCAAAGCTCTATAGTAATAATAATAGAAAATTAAATTAGAAATCAGTTACTGAAGGGGATTAGTTTGAATAAAGCAAAGAACAGTAAAGCTTTAATAAAAATGATCAACAAAACGAAAGCTAAATTCATTAGAATAGTTAGAAAATTGATGAAGATGGATTTAATGAATATGGCGACGAAGATTATGATGATAATGAGAGTGAAAATATCAGAAAAATAAAAAATTAAGAAGGAAACAGTAATGAAGAAATATAAGAACTAAATCATTCATAGAATATTAATAATGATTTTTGAGTTAATAAATAAACAAAAATTAAATATTTCAAATATTTAAAAAGAATAAAATTAGTCCATTCTAGCAATCACACTTATTAATTAATTAACTAAATAAATAAATAACAAACAAACTTCAACTATATTTATTCTTAAAAAATACCTACACTTAATTGTTGATATATAATAAATTTATTTATTTAAATGTAAATCTATTATATGTGGAAGACAAATCTTAATCTTTTTGGAAAGTTAAAAAATTCCTTTAAAAAATAAAGATTTTTTTATCAGTATCAAATAAAGAAATTATTTTTTTTATGTTGCTTCATTGTTTTATTTAAGAAATAAATTACTATGCAAATCTATTATATGCAGAAGACTTTTCTTAATCTTTTAGAAAAATTGAAAATTAATTTTAAAAATAAAGATTTGTTTATAAGTATCAAATAAAGAAATTAATTTTTATATGTTGATTCTTGGTTTTATTTGAGAAATGAATTATTTATTTATTTTTTCAAAAAAGGAAATTTAATTGTTTTGTAAAATAAATTCATATTTGTTTTATTAACTCTAAAAAATATTTCATATAAAAATATATTTAATTTATTGAAAATGAACAGCTTCTTTTTAACTAGATAAATTGTTTCATAAAAAACAATGATTTGAGAACATGAAATAACTATTGAATATTTATTATTTTTATTTGCTTTTCTAAGTTTGAAAAAAGAAATATGAATTGAGAAATATAGCAGTTAAAATATACAAATGAATTTTTAAAAGATTAAATATCCTTAGAAAAAAGATTTAAATATGAATAAAAATAGCTATTAAATCAATAATTAATTTATCATTTCGCAATTACTAACATAAATTAAATGAATAATACAGTGCAAAATCTAATTAATTAATAATTCAAACAAAAATTTCTAATTAAAGAATAGCAATCAAAATAACTCATTCAGTATACCAATAAAAAATAATAACAAAATAAATAATAATTTGAGTAACAATTATATTAGTAATTAGGTAGAATCCATAAAAATATCATTTCTTTTATTTATAAATGGGATAGGAAATATCATCTCCCATCAAATGCGCAGGGGATGACAACATTAAGCATGAATAATATTTAGAGAAGATAGATCCAAGCGGTGAACAAAAGCTAATGCACATGTATAAATATGCTTCAACTCCCTAAAATTCCACATAAAAATCTATTTTAACATGTAATTATTAATAATTTAGTTTTAATTCATAGCTTTGATTAATATTTGTTAACCTGAATTATTTGTTAAAATTATTTTCTAATTTTTTAATCACAAGCTTTTATTAGATTAAATAAATTTTTTTATATTAAATAAACCACATATAGTTAACCCTGATGAGCAATCAGTTCAAGAAAAAGTAGATTAAAAAATTTTTTAAGTTCCAATCAGTTTCCGAAAAGAAGAGGATAGCATAGATAAAATTAATGAATCACCAGTTAAAAGCAGTAAATAATATTTTACTCATGAAGAGTTAGAAGAGGAGGAAAAGGTAAAGAAAACTTCACCAGTGCAAGCAAATAAATAATACTCTTAGACAGCTAAAAATTCTCCTATTAGCAAAAGCCCTCTTACTAGTGTTGCTAATAAGTAGTTAAATTAATCACCACTAAGCAAAATGCTTGAAGATTTAGAAGTTAAGAGAAAAAGGCATTAAGAAATTTAAAATATGGGATACCCAAAAGGATTTTCTCCTACTAAATTAGAGATGATCTAAGAGCTTATGGCTCCTAAATACTAATAAGAAGATAATCAAAGATCAACTGCTCAGAGAAAGAGAACACCTGAATAATCAGATTAATTTGTCAGTAAATTATTATAAAAAGGTGAAGAGATCAAGTTAAAACACCAAGCTTTGTAAGAATAGCAATTAAACAAAGAGTAAATAAAATATTTTATTATTTATATTTGTTAAAAATTAATTAATTTTATGGTTGTTAAAATTTAGATTTAGTGAATGCACTTTTTAGCCAACTCTTGAAAAATCTTCAAATTTATATAATAGTGGAATTTTTAATTCTAGGACATTGCAATCATAAGCTAGCAATGCAAATTTATAGCGATCAATATAAGATTAGAGTAACTACTAATATACATCTTCTATTCAGTAGCCAGATTTATAATAATAGAACTATTTTTCTTAGCCTCACTAGCAACAAAATAGACCTTAAATTATTTAAGATCACTTGAAAAGTAGTTTTGGAAACAATTAAATTAATTAATAAGCACAAAAATAATAATAGTAATATTAGTAGTATGTTGAAAAGTTGTAGCAAACATATTTTTAATAGCCTTAGCCTCATGAATAATAATAGTAAAAAATTGAAAAATAGCTTTAATTTAAAATGCCAGAAACATAATCTTTCTAATAACCATACCAAAACTAATAATCTGCCAATAATTTAAGTAGAAATGTTCCTTATTCATTGCAAAATTCTCCATAGAACAATAAAAGCACTGTTGAAAATTCATAGGTATCTAATTATAGAGATAGTACTCCAAAAACAAAAAAAAGTTCTATAAGCAAACTTTCTTAAATATCGAAATAAAAGTTAACTTCTCCTTAGAGTGTTACTTGGTAGAAAGATATTTCTCCTAGATCTACCCTCAGCAATTAATATTCCTATCGTACACCTAATAGTGTAAAGTCTCCTTCATCATCACAGTAGATTTAAAAAAACTAGTCTAATTTGAGAAAAATAATTTAAGAAAGCAATAACTCACCAAGAATAAATTAAAAATTATTCCACAAGAAGGATGAGAATTAAAGTTAGAATGAAGGTAGCAGCTTTATGCAGAATGCAATTAATAAATCCAACAACTTTAATTAAAATTTACCTGCAGCTACTGATAATAATAGTCATGCTAAATATGATAACTTTGAACTTAATAATTTTAAAGTCAACTAAGATAAAAACGTTTTAAAATAAGCTAATTAAAATTTTATATCAAATCATGTTCCTAATATAAATAACAACCTAACAAGTTATTAAGTGCCAGATAAATTTAATTACTAAGCTAAAAGCAATGCCCAATCAAAAACTCCAATTCATATGAAAAATTAAGACTTTATCAACTATTCAAAATCTTAACAGACTTCACCTAAAAATTATTCATTCCAAGACTAATTACACGATAATCAAAATTAATTGCCTAAATAAAGTTAGGTGGACTTTACTTATCCAATCAATTTAAGTTCTTATAATAATAACAGCAACAATATAAGCTAGTTTGCTTAGGCCAAAGCTACTCCTACTTCTAATCTATTATTGGTTCCCACCAATACAAGCTAAAACAATCTATCAAAAAATCCAGCATAACTGAGTAATGATGATTCAAACCATTGGAGATAAAAAGAGTTGTTTTATCCTTAAATTGATGATTATCAGTATAAACAGACTAAAAATAGTAAAATATTAGAGTAGAGCTATGCAAGCTTGAACCCTAATAATAATAGTCTGACAGCAAGATCAAGATCTTGGAAGCAATTTTTAGATGATTAAAATAAATTTTCAGATGTGAAAGAGCTAAATATTTAGCATGTAAAATATTGGCAATTTACGAATTTAAATTAATACATTTTTATATTTAATTTAGTCAAGGGTGAATATAGAATCAACAACAACAGCAGACTTTGTTTATAAACCTGAAATATCTAAGGTATACTAATTAAAGCAGCTTTATTTTGTTTATTTATTTATGAATAAATAATAACTTAAAAATATAGAAATCAAAACAAATTAATTCAAGTAAATTGTCTGGAGATAGTGATGTTTTCAAAAGACTGAATAATTTAGTTACAGAAAGTGTGAAAAAGAAGTATGGCTTAGAGAATGAGAAAACCCCAGAAAAATCTAGAGGAAATTCTACAAATAGAATTCATAGATCTCCTGAATAATAAGATTAGTTATATAATAGACTTTACGAAGATGCTTCCGTAAGAAAGGAAAAGAATAAACAGCTTTCAGATGAAGTTTTTACATCAATTACTGCCAGTACCAAACCTTCTATAGCAGCTTAAAGGATGAATGATTACTGCTTAGCTTAAAAATTTGTTAAGGACTTTGAAGAAGAGCTAAGCCATGTAGTAAATTCAGAATCCGTGCCACATTCATATTCCCTAAATTATAATTAGTAATTTCCCAATTAATTTTAACTTGATATTTATATAGTTATAATTTTGAATTTAATTATTAGAGTGTAAGACCTTACCAAGAGATTAAGATTTATAAGTGACAAGAGTTATATAGACTCCTTTAACTATGCAAAGGAAAGAGCTTTACTAAATGATCTGTGGATTATTATGAATGGTCAGATTAACAATGGTGTTAGAAGCAGAAATCTATTATTATTCTTTTTTGCTGTTCATGGAATTAACATCGACTTGCCAATAATTACAAGTGAAATGCTCAATAATAGTGTTTATATTTAAAATGTATCAGCCTAAAAAATCAATATATAAATTTCAGATATCAAACCTGCAGATAAATTGAGTCCAGATTGTGAACAATATCTAAATACTTTTGGAACTGGAAATCCATAAATTAAGTCATAAGTGATACCTTCTTTCCACAATATATCAAGTGATTAAAAACCCATTCAGAATCAAAAAAACAACTCTAGCATATAATCTACACTAAAGTAAATTTTAACTTTAAAAAATTAATTTAAAAAAAATATTTTGACTTATTAGTAAAATAGAAACACCTTTTAATCCTGTTTCGAATTCAGCATTAACTCCTCGAAATAGTAATTCGCTTTAAAATAATTAGGTAGAGTAAAGCTAGTAAGAAACTTCAACATTTATACCTCCAAATGCTTGCAAAAATATGTAAATAGGAACTTTTGATCCAATTTAAAATTGGTCAATATCTCCCAGCGATGTTAAAATGATATAAAATCAGTTTAAGCTATGGTATTTAAATAGATTACATTAAACAAAAAATAAAGATTAGCTCAGTAGCAATAATTAAGAGTAGCCTTTTTCTCCCAGAAATGGTGTAAACGGGCAATCTTAAATTCTTCATAAATCACAGTCATTTATTTCTCCATACAAAAATAAGAATACTGAATAATTAGCAACTAACCACAGACAAAGAATGATTTAAATTGCCAATGTTGAAGAAGTATTTTATAAATATTTTTTCAAGTAAATTTAAAAATTAACTTTTTTAAAAAATAAATTAAGATACCTTTGTAAAGCAATTTATCAAATGCTGATATTCAAAATGCCAGGAGACTTGCTTAAATAAAAATAAATGAAAAAATAAAATAAGAAAAAGAGTAGTAATAACTTAATTAGTGCACTTTCCATCCAGAAACAGTTTCATCCCGCTCTCCTTTCCGTGATAACCAGTAAATATTTTTAAATCATAAATAAATAAATAATTTATTTAATTTAATTGAATTAAATTAAAAAATCTTCAAAGAAATAAATCTGTCTATGAATAATTGTATGATCAAAGAAAGAAAGAACTCAAACGTGATAAATCTAAATAAGAAGTGGAGTATGAAAAAGAATGTGATGAATGCACTTTTAATCCTCAGATAAATACTAATTACAACTCAAACATTAAAAGAAATCAATCTCAATAAATGCAGTAGCCTTATGTTAGAAACGCAGATTTAGCTATTAAAAGAATGAAATAAGCATAAGAAGAGCATTAATTTAAAGAAAAGTATAAATCAAGAGGTTATGAGTTTCCTAAAAGACCAGCAAGTTTACTACCAAATAACAATAGCAACAATGTTTCAAAGTCACCAAGACCTTCTCATAATTAAAAAAATAAATCCATACAAAGTAATTAAATAATCTGAAAAAATTTTTAAAATAAATATTTTAATTAATAAACAAATAAAGTAAATCCTAAGCAAGGTTAGAATCCTATTGAGAAAAACAAATCCAAAAATGTAAATCTACCAAGCGAATATTCAACAATTAATTTTTAAAGTAATGGTTAAGGTGATTCTATCTAATAATTGTATAACAACAATAATGGGACAGATATGGATTATAATTGTATTTAATTAATTAAGAAATTAAGTTTTTATTCTAATTCTATTTAATTATATAAAGAAATGCAGAATTATGAAAAGCCCATCATGCTTTATGTTGATGTCAACCTTGGAGAAAATCAAATGTAAAGGATAGTTGTTCGTGAAGGAGATAAACCTGAATAGTTAACAGATGAATTTATAAAATACTACTGTAAAATAAAAAAAATAATATTTTCAATATTAATTTTTATTTTTAGAATTACCATAGGAAATAAAACCTAAATTAGTTGAATTGCTTGCTTAATAAATAAATTCATATTTATGTTAAGTTGATGAAGACAGGAGAGAAAGTGAATTTTGACTATAAAAAGAAAAGAATGATAGAAAATTAATATTAAAATATATTTAAGTATATAATTTAAGATAGATTTGACTTTAAAATTTCAAAAATAAAAAACTAACTTATTAAGTTAATTAAAAATAGAGTGATTATTTTTAAATTTGTTACAGTATTCTTACTTCTTGTGTATTATATATATATAAGTAATTAATCTTAGTTAGCAATTTCTAAAATATTAACTAATATTCTCATTAGATTTATAGAAAGAGAAAAACAATTGAAATTATCTTATGCTGTTATTTTTATTTTTCTGAAAGATAATGAAATTTTTTCATTCAAAATTCTTAAATTTTCATGAATATTTATCATGATTCAAGTAAAATTACCTTTATAATTTATTAATTATTAATGATACAAAGCTTGCAATATAACTAAAATATTATAATTTTACTTTAAAATATGCAATAATGTGAAAACTAACAACACGTTTTGCTAATGGATGAAGTTTTATCAGGTTGAAAATTAAATTAATTCTTAAAATTAAAAATTTTTTATAAATTCAAAAATTTTAGCTAAGGAATTTATTTTTGTGTACTCTCTAATCTTACTCAACAAATAAAAATTAAGATGTAAAGTAAAAATTATATTTTATGACATCACTTATATCGAATGAATAGCAGAAATAAGATATGATTTGTTTACTCGGTGTTCATTCTTTTGAATTTCCATAAATTTTCCATCTAATTAAACTAAAAAAAAAAATATTGCATTTAATTAGATTATAATAATAATTATTAGAATTAATTGAATTTTAGATTTTAAAAAAAATGGATATTACTGCTACTAACGAACCTGTAAGATTCTACTGCTTTGTTACTTGTCCTTACGCCATCAGGGTAAGAACCGCTTTAGAACTCCTCTAAGTACCATATGAATATAATGAAATTGATCTATTGGTAAATTAATAACTTACTCCTGAGTTCCTAAAAATAAATCCCCTCCATTAAGTACCAGTGATTATTAACAAGCAAGGATAGGTAGATTATAAATATTCTTATAATTAAATGTAATTTATTATTTTATTAGACTATATCAGAAAGCTTGGTCTGCTTAGAGTATCTCAATGATAAATACTAACCTGGCTTGCTTCCTTAAGACAGTTTCTAAAGAGCCCAAATCAGAAAATGGATCACATATTATAGTTCTATTGACGCAAAGAAATGGAGAATTTTAGGTGCTATTAGAAACAAAAATAAAGAAGAAGCTTATCGTATTCTAAATGAAATTTAATAAAATTTAAAATTCTTGTCATCTTAAATTGATTTGCCAATTAGAGTTGAATAAAATTCAAAAACCTTCTTGTTTGGTTCTACTTTTGGGATGGGTGATATTGCTATTCTACCAGTTTTAGATTAAATGATTATATTATTTGAAACTGCATTTGGAAAGTAATTTTATTTTTTAAAATGTTTAATTTTTTGTAAAATAAATATCTAACTTTTTTATTTTTTAAGGCATATTTTAAAAGATAATTTGAATGGAAAAGATGTTGATGCACTAAAAGCACTTTATATTTGGTTTGAAAATACCAAATAGTAACCTGCATACTAAAAGTCAACATACAAGCTTTAGAGTCTACCATAAAATCCTCTAATTGATGAACTTAACTTAAGAAATAACTGGCAATTCGATAAATATTACATAAACTTTGCATAAAGAAAGTTCTTCCCTAGTGGTTAAATCCCAAAATTATGAAAAATGTTCTTGCTAAATACCTATTGATAAAATCATTTTTTTACTAATCAAAATAAATCTATATTAAAATGTAATTTACTTTTTATGTTAATATCCCAAAATAGACACATTTTCTGATATAAATAAACAAAAATCATTAGAAATACTTATTAAAATATTTGATTTGCTACCATATTTTTATGATATGTTTCAATTTCATAAAATTAATTTTTTTTTTTTAATTTTCTTTAAACCATATGAAATTTCATACATCCATATATTAATATTTCTAAAACTAA